TATTTATAATTTCTAAGAGACAGCGTGTCGGCGGTCAATAGCCTGTGTTTGAGCAAAGACGGTTGTCGATGTTCATCCACGAGATGGTGACAGAGGCGCATAATATATATATATATATATATATATATATATATATATATATATATATATATATATATATATATATATATATATATATACATATATGTATATGTATATATATATATATAAACCAAAATATTTACATGTATTTATATCTATTTATAATTTGTATTGTATTGTATTTGTAATATGTAATATGTATTTGTATGCAATTACTCGCAATTAAGCTTTTAACAACATTATAATAATATAATAATGATAATGATAATAATAATAATAATTGTAGTAATAAAAAAAAAAAAAAAATAATAATAATAATAATAATAATAATATAATAATGATAATAATAATAATAATAATAATTGTAGTAATAAAAATTATAATAATAATAATTATTATTATTATTATGAATTTTTTCTTATCACAATTATTATTATTACCATTATAAATATAATAATAATAACTATAATAATAATAATAATAATAATAATAATAATAATAATAATAATAATAACAATAATAATAATAATGATAATAATAATAATAATAATAATAATAATAATAATAATAATAATAATAATTATTATTATTATTATTATTATTATTATTATTATTATTATTATTATTATTATTATTATTATTATTTGGGTTCCCCTATGACAAAAAATTGATTTTAGGGATTTTAGAAAATACAAGTAAATAAAATGTAATTTTACATTTTGTTATTGCCATACTTTCCCAACTGTCTGAATATTTTAAGTATTAATATAAACAAAGAATATTTTGAACTGCAAAGTTTTTTTTGTATTTTGTATTCGAATACAACTTTTCTGAATTGTCTTGCTTAAATATGCTTTAAGGTTTTATGACTTGCATAAAAGTCTACCACAAAATCCTGAGCATTGGATGAAGTCATTTTCAAAATTCTTTTTTGACATATTAGGGTCAAAGGTTTAACACAAGAGTTTCTTTTTAGTGCTCCATAATTCAAAATATACAGCAAAGGCAAGAAAAAAAAACATTTACATTTGTTGGTTACAATGCTGTATATAAGAGGCAAGTTAAGAGCATATCCCTTTATGAAAACCTTCAGAATATATTTATGAATAAAACGGTGAAGTTTGGTGCAAGTAAATGGTAATGAAATGGAGATTTATGGATCAATACTTTAGAAAAATTTATAAAAAAAAAATTATCTTTAAAATATATATTATTGTCACTGAAATCTACAGACACAAATTGATAAAGCGCAAAACAACAAACACATAAAAGTCTATTAAGGATGTTTTCTTTACATTAAGCTGAAAAGAAAATCTTCATGAAGAGCCAAAAATGTAGAATAAGTAAATATATATATATATATATATATATATAAATCTTGCCTTTTAAGATGCTTTCATAACATTAATTTCATAAGCTGTAAATTTAGGACACAACTATAACTATAAAATCTATACAGCTCATCAATGAAAGAAACATTCAGGCTGTTTTTTTAACTGCGAAAAACAGCTGACAACCAAACCAGAGACACAATAAATTGAAGACGACAGAAACACCAAACCACAGTCTGAAACCAGAGCCTGAAACTGTCAAACCATCTCGCTTTCTCTTGTAGTGACACTAAACAAACTCTCAGAGTTATTTTATGCCGGTGTTTACCAGAAAAACAATGTCAAAAACAGATGCGGAAGTCAATATGTGTCTTAGAATTTATATTTATTTTTAGTTTTAATCAGCGGTTGCATGTTCATATTTCATTTTAAGACAAACAACTTCACCGGTAATTATCTCTTTATACTGTTAAAATATCGTTATTTAAGAGCTGCGTGTTTCTTATGATTTATGCATGGTTTCCTTTTATGTATTTGTTTGTTGTGAATAAACGCCCTTTAGTGGCAAAACATTTAATGGAAATACAGTGCTTGGATTTGACTCTTATTTTAAATGATTTGATATATCAAATATTTTAAATAAACAATTTTAATAGATTTTTTTTATTATTTTATCTTATTTTACTTTTTTATTGTAAGTTTTTAATTTTTATTTTGTTCAATTAATTATATTTAATTTAATTACATTTTTATTACATTTTTTATATTTCATTTTATTTACAATTTTTATTTAACTTTAAATTTCATTAAATTCTATTTGATCAAATTTTTATATATATATTTTAAATTCAATTCAATTAAAACTTTTATGTGGGAAGTGGCAGACGCACTTTTCTGCCCGTTTTGTGTCATGTTTATAAATGAGCCCCAGCTCAGTTCAGAGTCTTACCATGACGGAGGAGTTGCGTCTGGAGCCCACAGGTGTGGTGGGTAGAGAGTTAAGAGATGAGCTGGCGTTCAGATCCTCCGAGCTCAGGTTATCAGATCCATCACTCAGACCACTGCTGATGGAGCTGCTCTCGTCCCAGCTGAACACAAACACACAGAAGAAGACGATCAGAAGAGACCAGAATAGCTAGAATGATGAGAAGAACGAAAAAGGTGAACACTACAGAATCACACCAGTGCATGTTTTACTGCATTCAGTGGGGTCATGAAGCTGTGAAATTCATTTAGTGTTAAGTTTATAAAGTCACACCTTCTTCTGAATTTTGAGTTTACAGTACTTCTCATGACTGATATTATAATATAACTTTTGGAGCAGATATCTTGTCAATCTTTACAGGACAAAAATGTGATATTAATTATTAAATATGCTATGTTCCTTTATGGGGTGAGGCAGTGGCGCAGAAGGTAGTGCTGTCGCCTCACAGCAAGAAGGTCGCTGGTTCGAACCTCAGCTCAGTTGGCGTTTCTGTGTGGAGTTTGCATGTTCTCCCTGCCTTCGCGTGGGTTTCCTCCGGGTGCTCCGGTTTCCCCCACAGTCCAAAGACATGCGGTACAGGTGAATTGGGTAGGCTAAATTGTCCATAGTGTATGAGTGTTAGTGTGTGTATGTTTCCCAGACATGGGTTGCAGCTGGAAGGGCATCCGCTGCGTAAAATCTTGCTGGATAAGTTGGCGGTTTATTCCGCTGTGTAATAATTGAATGAATGAATGTTCCTACACTGCATTCACTCAATCTTAATTTCACCCCAATATAGCATATCCCAGGAGAAGTAACTGAGATGTAGAAGAGCAAAATCATTTGTCAGTCCTTCATATGGAAACCTTTTCTGCTCCATTAGCTGACCCAGAAACAGACAGCAGGATCTCTACGGGACAGATGTCTTTACCATATGACCAGACACTCAGCTTACCACACAAGCTCAATCCCGTATCTACAGCACTTCCCAAAAAACATTACAGGGGATGCGGAAGAGCAATTCCATGAAAATATCAACCATGCCATGAAAAAAAATTAAGTTTTCATTAAAATAGCGAAACCCTCTCTAAGTTGTTTGTGTAGGCTTTTACAGTTTACAGTACAGTGGTCCCTCGCTTATAACAGGGTTCACATTTCGCAGCCTCACAGTTTTGCTGATTTTTTTTTTAAGTGTGTGTGCAATTTGACATGCTTTTTTTAATAACGCACTGTGTTCTGCAGCCTGATTGGCTGTAGACTACTGTCAATCAATCTCCTCCATGTCTCCTGTACAGTACAGAATGTGTTCAGCTTGCCGAATTAATGTAAATGTTCGATTGGTAGCAGTGTGAGTTCCAACAAGGATGCAAAAAGGGTTGTAACTGTCCGCAGCAAAACCATCGTAAAGGGGTTGCACATTGGATGTGCCGCACCATGCATTTTAGGGTGCTTTCACACCTACACTTTTGTTTCGGAACGTATCTCGTTTGCCCAGTTAGCGTGGTTCGTTTGGAATGTGAACAGGGCAATCGCGCTCTGTTCCGCGCCAAAGTAATCGCTCCGAGATCGCTTGAATGAGGTGGTCTCGGCTCGATTGAAACGAACCCTGGAGCGGTTTGATTGCAGTGAGAAAGCGATCCGATCCGAGCGCGGATATATCAATGTGTTTTATGGATATGTAATAGGCATACGGCTATATGAAGAGAGAATTATGAGTAGGGCGGGAAGTTTTGCGAGTCTCCGGATGCCCGCAAACGAGTGATGATCTCCCGGTAATCTCGTGTCTCCCTCCCGGTCCTCAAATAGGCATCGTCGTGCACCCTTCTCACCCCTCCCCACCGCGTCTCTCCTCAGACACGTTGCGCGCACCCTGTCGATCACCACTAAACCACCACCTCTCCTGACAGCTTAGCGGGATGCTGCAAAATAAACCCTGACACTCTGACCAATGTAAGGAGAGTTTACTCGCACGTGACTTGTTTTAGCTCTTTTGGTCCGATTAGAAACTTTGCAGTGTGAAAGCAAATCGCTCCAAGAGCAAAGAGCAACAATGTAACATTTGTAATTTCTGTTTCGGAACAACTGAATCGATTCACAGGTGTGAAAGCACCCTTAGAATTGTAAAAAAAAAAGGTCAGGGTAAACACACTGGTGCTGCAAGTCAGCGGCTGTCTGCGGTGCCCAGCCGCCGGTCAACCATTTCGTTTTACCTCTGTAAATGAATGAAATACAGTAGTTTACTCTAAAAATGAGAAATTATTTTTTACGGTTTGTACCGTATTTTTAACAGTGAAATACTGGCAACCACAGCTGCTGTTTTTTAATCGCAAATTACACGGATTTATTTTTCACAGTGTAGTTTTGGACAATATAAACAGATGTTTCAATATAATGTGAACAAATACTTTCTATTGGAATTCATGTTTTAGGCTTTTACTGCAAATGTCACATGCATAACTCTTCTCAGATGTAAAAGTGAATGATGGGTAGTGATTAAAGAGGGTTAAAATAGCATAGAGACTGTTTCTAAGGTCAGTGAGTTTATAAAGCGCGAGTCCTGCAACTGTGGGTTTGTCCATCTGCTCTGAACGAGGGAAAGCCACACTGGATCATCAAGGATTCATCTGCAGTCCCGCATCACCAAGAGGAGATTCAAGCCCAAAAAGCGTACATGTGAACACAGATGCACTGCAAGCTCTGCATATTTCCAAGATCTGCTAATTCTATTACGTTCATGTTTTATGACCTGTCCTCTTCATAAGTCAATGCGTTTACTATTCATAACTACAAATTCAGCAAGTATTAATGCAAGTATTAATCCATCATCTCTCTCTCTCTGTCTGTTCATTTCTTTGTCTGTCCATCTGTATATCTGTCAATCTGTCCATCTGTTTGTCCGTCCGTCGGTCTGTCCATCTTTCTGTCTGTCTGTTTGTCCCTCCGTCTGGCCATCAGTCCATCTCTTCATTGGTCTGTCCATCTGTCTGTTTGATTGTCCGTCTGTCCATCCGTCTATCTGTCCATCTCTTCATCTATCTGTCTGTCCAACAGTTTGTCTGTCTGTGTCTCTGTCTGTCTGTCTGTCCATCTGTCAAATGGTCTGTCTCTCAGCCTGTCCATCTTTCTGTCTGTTTCCATCTGTCCATCCTTCTGTCTGTCCATCTCTTCATCTGTCTGTCTGTCCATTTGTCAGTCTCTCAGCCTGTCCATACGTCTGCCTGTCTGTGTTTCCATCTGTCCATCCGTCTGTCTGTCCATTTTTTCATGTCTGTCTATCAGTTTTTTTCTGTCTGTCCATCTGTTCGTCTGTCTGTCCTTCATTCTGTCTATCTGTCCATCAGTTTGTCAGTCTGTCCATCTGTCAATCAGCCTGTCCATCCGCCTGTCTGTCTGTGTTTCCATCTTTCCATCCGTCTATCTGTCTGTCCATATCTTCATCTATATGTCCATCTGTTTGTCTATCCATCCTTCTGTCTGTTCGTCTATCCATCTTATCATCTGTCTGTCTCTCTGTCTGTTCGTTTGTCCATCTGTTCCTCAGTCTATCCATCAGTTTGTCAGTCATACCATCTGTCAGTCTGTCTGTTTCTCAGCCTGTCTATCTTTCTGTCTGTTTCCATCTGTCCATCCTTCTGTCTGTCCATCTCTTCATCTGTCTGTCTGTCCATTTGTCAGTCTCTCAGCCTGTCCATCCGTCTGTCTGTCCATTTCTTCATGTCTGTCTATCAGTTTTTTTCTGTCTGTCCATCTGTTCGTCTGTCTGTCCTTCATTCTGTCTATCTGTCCATCAGTTTGTCAGTCTGTCCATCTGTCAATCAGCCTGTCCATCCGCCTGTCTGTCTGTGTTTCCATCTTTCCATCCGTCTATCTGTCTGTCCATATCTTCATCTATATGTCCATCTGTTTGTCTATCCATCCTTCTGTCTGTTCGTCTATCCATCTTATCATCTGTCTGTCTCTCTGTCTGTTCGTTTGTCCATCTGTTCCTCAGTCTATCCATCAGTTTGTCAGTCATACCATCTGTCAGTCTGTCTGTTTCTCAGCCTGTCTATCTTTCTGTCTGTTTCCATCTGTCCATCCTTCTGTCTGTCCATCCATCTCTGCATCTGTCTCTCTATCAGTTTGTCCATCCTTCTTTCTTTTTGTCCATCTCTGCATCTGTCTCTCTATCAGTTTGTCCATCATTCTTTCTTTCTGTCCATTTCTGCATCTGTCTGTCCATCAGTTTGTCTGCCCATCAATCTGTCTGTCTTTCAGCCTGTCCATTTTTCTGTCTGTCTGCCTGTTTTCATCTGTCCACCAGTTTGTCTGTCAGTCCACCTGTCTATCTGTCCGTCCTTCTATCTGTCTGTTTGTCCATCTCTTCATCTGTTTGTCTGTCTGTCTGTCCATCTCTTCATCTGTCTGTCCATCTGTCAATCTATCTGTCTGTCAGCCTGTTAATCTTTCTGTCTGTCTGTCCATCTCTTCATCTGTGTGCCCATCTGTCTGTTCATCCATTATTCTTTCGGTTTAACTATCTGTCTGTCCGTTTGTCCGTCCATCATCTCATCGCCAGTCTGTCCATTTGTTCATCTGTCTGTCCATCCATCTTTCTGGCTGCCTATCGGTCCAACTATCTGTCTCTTAGTCTGTTTGTCTTTCTGTCTGCCTGTCCGTCTGTCTGTCTCTTGATCTGTCTGTCTGTCTCTAGATTTGTCCATTTGACTGTACATCTATCCCACTGTCTGTACTTATGTCTGTCCATATGTCTGTCTTTCTGCCTGTCTATTTGTCCATCCATCGGTCTCTGTCTGTCGGCCTGTCTATCTGTCCATCTATATGTCTATTCATCTGTCTATTTGTCTGTCTCTTGGTCTATCTGTCTGTCCCCATCTCTCTCTGTCTGTCTCTATGTCCATCCGTCTATCTCCCTGTCCGTCTGTCTGCCATCATGCTTTTCTAAAGTACTTAGTGGTTTCCGACTCAGCAGAGTCTACGGAGATGGAAAAGGGAATTACGGGTGCCAAAGAATCAGTGGACAAAAATGGCTTGTTGATGTTCGGCAGAGCAGCTGAAGGAGCCAGCAATTTGTGCTAATTACAGGTTGTGCGGGCAGAAAGGGGAGAGAATGGACTTGCCTAC